ATTCAGGCTTTTCTTGAGCCCACTCTCACTTTCTTCTTTTCTGTTTGGGTGTTAATGATGGCGTCTGCTGGACTGCTCTGTATCTAAATCCCATTTCTTTTCAGGGATGTTTCTCACTTTGGTCACAGACTTTGACTCCAGTTTCCTCCTACATGTTTTTCATTTGTTTTGTTCAATTCCTGTTTTCAATCCATTTTGGTTCAAGTTTTCTGTCCTGACCATTTCTTGTCTTCCTTGATCAATTAGTACACTTCCCTTTTACAACATTTCCATTTTGTTTGTACTTTGACACAGCTGGATGTAAACAACCAACAACTGGTGCAAAATTCAGTGATCATTGACGTTTTTGAAGCAGTTTTGTGATCGTGTGCTTTGTTTCAGCTGTCTTGTTGGAGCCATGATTCACAGTAATCTGCTGTGTCCAGCAGTTCTTCAACATACGTGCACTGTTATGGGAACCTTATCTGCATATGTGCTTTAATTTCTCATTAACGCTTGAAGACACATTATTCATGCTGGTAAGGTTGTAAAATCCACTGAGGCTGTAGTTTTCATCACAGTTGCTGCTGTAGTCAAAGCAAGTTCCTACATGCACGATTTACTTTTCCTAAAGACTAATTAGAAGATTGATTATAAGGCAGATGTTTGTTTTCAAAAAACAAATGAATGATTTGATCATGTTTCCTTCTACTTTATCTAAAGGAGGCAACAGTGACTGACTAAAATAGTTAGTTTTCTTTTTATGTTTCTTAATGCCAGAAGATTGGAGTTCTGAAAAATGATAGTTTAGTGGCATGCCTATGGTTTGTTTTTATTACTGTGTACAAACTTCAAGTACTGGACGAGCCTCCAAGGCTGGTGGTTCCATCCTTTTGCTGCTGGAACAAGCCTCTACTTTACCCTCTGGTCTCAGGATTATTTTTCTTGCAATTTGTTTGGTTCAACTTCTTCAGCTGTCTAGAAAGTAATCACTCAGGATTTTTTGTAAACTGTTCATTTTGTTTCTGCAGCAGCACCCTTACTACTTATTAAACAAAGCTACAAAGCTCTCAACAACCTAGCTCCATCTTATATTACTGATCTTATTGTTCCATATTTTCCTAACAGAGCACTTCACTCTCAGGCTGCAGGTTTACATGCGCTTACTAGAGTTTCTAAAAACAGAATGGGAGGCAGATCTTCCAGTTCTCAGGCTCCTCTCTTGTGGAACCAACTTCCAGTTTCTGTCCGTGAGGCTGACACATTGTCCAGTTTTAAAACCAGGCTTAAGACTTTCCTTTTTGATAAATCCTATAGTTAGGGTC